TTGCATGATACTTTTAGATCTACAAAGGGCATTTGATACAGTTGATCACATAATACTGCACATGAAGAAGCTCTTTTTGTTCTTCTTCATTTTCTTACATGGTTTAAGTCTTATCTCTGATAGACAGCAGCTGGTGGATGTAGCTGGTACCCATTCTACTACTGCTCTGAGTACCTATGGTGTTCCCCTGATGTTCATTTTAGGTCCTCTTTTATGTCTAATATATGTCAATGACATGTCTGCAACCCTAAGCAATAAGCTTTTATCATATGCACAGACACGAGTATCAGACCTGGGAAGAAAAAAATATGACCAGATTGATAAAAAAAACTGTGTTCATCTCAAAAGTGTCAAAAACAAAAATAAAATGTAAATAATAACCACCACTAAAAATATACTTTAAGTTAATAATTCTAAGTATATTTTTAAAGGGGGTCATTATTTACATTTTTGTTTTTGTTTTTATGAACCCATTTTTTTTTATCAATCTATTCATATTTTTTTCTTTCCAGGTCCGATACTGGTGCCTGTGATTATATGCTAATGACTCACGAATCCTTGTGTCTTTTAAAATAAATCTGATGAAATTCTTTCTTATTATGAGTCTTATAAGATTGGTTAATTGACTATAAATTGTCTTTGAATCTTGGCAAGACAGAGTCTATTCTTTTTGGTTTAAGTTTCAATCTAAACTGGGCATAGTCTCCAGGTCATGTAATGGTACTGCTATAAAGTACACATCTTTTGTGTTATAATAAGTATTTAGGTGCACACCTGGATCAAATTCTTTTGGCGTCGCCCTTTGATGCTTTGTATCAATGCTTTTCTTGTTCATGTTGTCAACCTATGTTAATAAACACAAAGGGTGTTTTGATAATTTCATTGGTGAAATTTCAAATAAAATGTATTTACATCCACTTCCAGATGGGACAGGTCAGCAACGTTTGTTCATATATCATGTTAGAGAGGACGGTTTTCTATCTGGGAAAAGAAACGTTATACGCGAAGTCTAAAGGTACGAAACGGCTGTCTACTTTAGCTTGTGTTATAATTTGCGGCGGAATAATTTATAGTTCAAAGTCCGATTATGTGAACTTCTGAACGAAATAAGTCATACAACGAATGGGAAAAAGAACACACAAGCCTTGTGTTTTGTAGAAAAAGTCTATCAAACATAGAAAACGTACTTAAATTAATACATGAAACAGTGAAATTGTGTACCAATCTTTACAAAGTTTGTCAACTTATTACAGTATCTACATGTAATGGTGTTATTTAGTCTATGATTGAACTTGTTTCTATGGTTTTTTTTGTTGATGACACTGAAAACAATTATCTCTTTTTATTAACTGACACTTATATAAGATAATTTGACTTTTTTATGCTTAAGTGTCTATATAATTGATTTTTGAAAGAAGATTGGTCTACAATTGACAAACAATTGTTGTTGTTGTTGTTTTTTTCAAATATTTATAAAGAAAGAAGAGTATAATTTGGATATCCTGAAATATTTACTGGAAAAAAGATATTAGAAGAGTTCTAAGCGATTAAGTGCATTTATATTATTGATAGTAAGATAAATATATATTGTTCAAGAATAATTAATTATCTATCTATATATAGATATGAACAATCAGATAATGTATCTCATACCACAAACTACAATATTTTCAACACACATATATAATTCATTTGTGTTGTCACTTATCATACTAAATTACTATCAACATGATAATTTATGTAAGTACAAACCTTCCATTACGGACCGGTTTACTTTAATTAACAATACAACAGTTATAATTACCGAGAGTTAATTTGAATAAGATGGTAAATTACATAGGATAAGTAATCCAAATATAGATGACTGCTTTTATTTTGAATAAACAAAAGCTAAAAACTAGATTTTTTAAATATTTAGACCCCGCCAATTACATTGTGAAAGAGTGTGTGTTTTTTCTATGTTTAACGAGGGTCCAGACGTCCGTTAAGGCACAAAAAGCAGCTTTCGCCGTCGAGTACGGACCTCGGACATAGACAAGGCCAGAACAACTTGTACATAGCTTCAGTGAAACCGTATCCGTAGAAGTATCTTGAACTGATTGGTTATTTGATACATGTATATTTTTATGAACAATGCTCATCAGACACGTTCCCCAGAATTCGAGAGGGCAACTTAGTAAGAAAAGCACATAAAACTTTAATTGATGAAGTTGATATATTATTATTCTATTTTTAAGTGTTTTGAATATAAAAGCATTTATCAGTAAGTTTATATTTTATCCTTTTTTCTAAATAATGTCAATGTTAATGAAATATATAAATTATTTACAATTTTGCCATCTTTAGAATATTTGAATATTTTGTCAAGGGACAGATATATTTTATTTCTTCAATATATTTATTTTAAGGGACTATTGACTTTAGTTTGTAATGATTCTTATCTTTTTGCTTATTTGTAATTAATTATATTCATGTGTTGTTATTATGAGTGGGATATCATTGTTTCTGATAACAGTTGCACTAGTTGTTTATAGCTAGCGCTCTATTGTCTACATACAGTAAAATAAACATGAGAACCACTGAAGGAGGGAATTGACAGGTAAGTGTTTTCGATTATCCCAATAACGTTAAGTAAAAGGCTCGAATCTGCATCAAGTGACAACATATTTCTAGGCCGAAACGACTTAAAAAAACTACATCGTTCATGGGCAGCTACACTAGTTATGCCCTTTAAAGGTTACCTATGAAGCACAAAAATGTGATAATTCACCCCCATGCAATTTTCATGGAGTATTAGCCAAAGATATCAATTTTGAGCCAAAGTAGATCACTATACGGCGGCCAATGAGAACCTAAGTGTGCAGTATGTACCTGAGACAATATGAAAAGGAGGGAGCCCTGGAAAGAGTTGTTGATGCCAAGCCAAGGACCTGCTTATGAAGCCTTCACTGTATGTGCTAGATACTTGAGCACTCTAGCACACTTTTCTCGTCGTCCCTGCCTACATTGTACTTTTTAGAGTCATTCCCTTCGGGTTTAGTCAGGACACCGGCAGCTTACTTCATGCAGACTAAAACATTCCGCCTTAAACGTAATCCCAAGCTGTGGAAAACATGCGAACTTGTCTTACACGTTGCATTATATTTTCAAACATCTGCTGGTGATGGGAAGATTGAACAAGTAACTTTGCACCAATTGTTTAGTTCAAGGTATAGATATGAGATGTTTCTATAAGCACCACAATCGAATAAAAACTAATTTGAATGCGTTTTAATTTGTTCGAATCTCTTATAAAACGTTTTTACTAAACTGGTAAATATCAAGCATCCTTGGTAATTTATCACAATAAAGTACTTCTGATACTAAATGCTAATACATAATAAATACTATTGAATACATAATGCTACAGTTCTATCTATTATAAGCTCTATTTCAACCAATGTTTCGAGGAGCTAAACTCTGTAATCATCTGAGAATGTTATCTGTGCTTAACCTTCTACTTATGTAAACATGAAATGAAACATGTTTTGCCTTTTAAGATTTATAGATATGTGATTTTATAAGGTTTGCTTACAGCAATTTGATTTTTAACCATGAACAGATATAAGTATACATATTGGCTTTGAACTTCACTTTTGATTGATAAAAAAATTGATGGTCATTATAAATTATAGTTATTTTGTTGAAACCATTTCTCTTTCGTCTGGTGTCCAAGGCACTGCAAGATCGTTTCTTATTTTATATCAAATGAATAGGTCAATGAACATGTAACGGAAAGAGGATAAAACAAAAGTGGTAAATCGTACGTTTGCTTATATTTGTTTTATTTATTTTATTCTATTACAGAATGTTTAGCAATTTTGAAACTTTTTCAATGACAATGTTATTTACATGCATTTTGCATATAAATACTAAAGTTATTGATACAAATGGATCGTGCTTTTTAGAAGATTACTGAAATTGTACAATTTTTTTAAATTCATATTTATGGTAATATAAGTCAAATTACAATGTATCAAAATACAATTTCACTGTAGCCGAACCCAAGAATAGCATAAAAAGATATGGTAAGAGCATCGCAAATACACCCACTGTTAAAAAAAGTACAGAATTATTATAAGCACATTAATATTTGTGAACTTCGTGTTAAGGGGTAAAAACAGTAACACAAATAATTATATGTCAGTCTGAACATTGTTACGCCACAAAGAAGAAAGTCTCAGTTAAAATAGTCAGACCACGAAAACCATGTCATGTATATTTGTTATTATATATATATATAATTATAATTTATCCTTGAATGTAAAATATAAAAGTTACACTTGTGGTTGGTGTACATCCAGAATTAATGTAGTTCGATCTTTCACTAACACAATTTATATATTTCTTTTAATATCTTATAAAATAATTAAACAAAAACATATTCCAAATTGTTGAAGAGCAAATATGTAAAATATTTTTATACATGTATTTGTTTTGTCAAGTTGAGATAGACTTTTATTTTGATACTTTTATATTTGTAATTTGAATAGAAAATTCAAAAATAATTTATTCCAGATGAATAAGATAAGTATTATTTACGAGATATTTATCCTTTTTTTATTAACTTGAGATCAGATTACTAAAAGGATATATTTGTATCACATAATTTTCATACGGTACTTCCATAGCTCACCGGCTCAACGGGGGCATTTGAATATTTGGTGAATACGAATTTGCACATAAATGTCAAATTTGTTTGAGGGATATCTTTGGTGTACACTTTACTATTCATTAAAACTGAGCGAAAGAAATTGATGTCATTTTTCTGTTCTACTTCCCGCATATTTTATTCATAAGAAAATCTCCTGTTTATCCATTACCAAACCAAAGAAACTATTATCTATATTTTTCATAGCACATACCATAACATATTTGAGGATTCTCACCCTGCACAGTAATCTAATGCACTAAGGCCTTAACATGTGATAGCATATGAACAGTAGAAAATAAAGAAAAGATTGTTTTCAAACTTGATTTTTATTAAAATTCTAAAATATCACAACATTTATTGAATTCTTAAAATCCATATTTTAATTTTTTCTGTTGGTTAACTCTAACACTTAGTTCTTACTGAGTTTGCAATAATGAATTTTATTTGAATATTTTAACGATGTTGAGAACAGTAAATTGTTTATTTTCTCTTCCTGGTCGCATCATGGACCTCTGTCTTTCACATCCTGGACAGTTCTTACTGAACCTTACTGAGCTTCCAAATCCAGATTTTCCTACGAAACATGATGACGAATGCGTGCCTTTAGAACGATTTGAGTTGAGACCTCCACTTCCCCAGGGCATGGTGATAAGTATGTGTCAGCTGTTTTTGTTTTAAACTATAAAATAATATAAACCTATTATAAAGTTGAATATTTTCTAATTAGAAATGGAAAAACATACGAAATTGTTCAATTTTTGAGTCAATATATATTTATTTAGAACATTATAAAGTTTGCGTTCATCGCAAGTTTTTAATATTGATTTAAAAACAAGTGTTGACTGTTCTTTTTTTCTGCTTATTATATAAGAAGATTACTAAATTCTAAATATAATCATATTGACAAAGTTTAAGCAAGTATAGTCTGATATCAAACAAATTCGTGTTGAAATTTTCCTCTACTCCCATGTAAGCTGCATTTATTATTTGATGCACTTCAACACTTAATAACACTTTATAACTAAATATGTACGAGATTTTTTATTCTATTTAATTTGACGGATATTTGTTTGACTGGTTTTACAAACCGCGCATGCATTTTATAAATGGACGTGAACTACATATTCGTAAAACAAAAATATATATAGCAATTCACGTGTCAATATATTTTATTTAGTAATGCATAAAATATTAAACTCACGATTTTTAAGTTCCTTAATTTTGTCTGAGCATTCCAAAACAAATTGTGATTATGGAAGAAAACTTTAACAGATTATTGAACGGACTACTTAAACATAAACAACTTGAATTAACGTGATATTGTCAAAACGTATTTATTTCATCATAAACATAAACTATTCAGGCAGTAACTTTTAGTAATTTAAAAATATACTTAACATTAAACAATTAACTTGTATCAGTTTTCGACATATTTGAAAACGACACCTGCTTTATGATTATAACTTGATTATAATTAATCGTTATCTACGATCATATTCCATTGCGGCATTGATTATGATGGGAAATATTGTTACACCTGAATGGCATTTGTCCTTTTATCAGTGCATGGTGAACATGCGATAGGAACTGTCTGAACTTGAACTTTATGGCGTATTTGCATGTATTTGTAGACAAAATAAATTCGAAAAATTCGTGTTATAAGCTCAGATTTTAACAGTGCAAAATCCAATATGTTATGTTCTGCAAGTGCTATATGGTCCGCCATATGAGATACATTCTACTATAAAATAAATCAATGAGCAAACCAAGCATTACAGCGAAACGTCACACACATTGTCTAAATAGTCGTTTTTTAGTCTGAATGGCTGACCTTAATTTCTATATAAAGAAACCAGCTCATTTTGTACCAATATACAAAGATAGAATTTTGTTTTCGTGGAAAAATCATGATATGAGTTCTATTTTTATCTCTGAAAGAGTCATTCTTTGGTCTGGAAAAGTAACATACCTTCGTAATAAAGTTCATTATTATTATGCTACAATCTATTTTCAAAGGTAACAGCTCATTTTGCACCAGTATATAAAGATAGAATTTCGTTTTCGTAGAAATTCATGATATGAGGTCTATTTTTATCTGTAAAAGAATTGGCATTAGACCAACTTTAAACATTTATACCATTAAACTTGAAAATGTAAGCGTGGCTGTTAGTAATCATTAGACCTGTTACATTTGAATACTAACCTGATAATAGTTCGTGTTCTTGTAATTATTGAACTGTTTGGACATGGGAACATTTTAACTGGTTCTTTAAACACAAAGCAATTTACGTCTTATTTCATAACTAAGCAGCAAATAAGAGTATCTTAAAGTGACATTATGATCATATTTTCATAGTCAAGTTGAGCTGAATTGACTTAATATTTCAAAAGATTGACTGTCAGAATGGTGTTTGACCAACAGTTGATATTGTAAAATCTTTAGAATAAAATCATAAATCTGCCTAAAATTTAAAAAGACTGCCCCACTCTTTTTTATAATCTAAGCGTTATATGTAAATTCTAATGGATATTTACAGAAATTTTGATTGGATCTGTGCCTTATTGATTGTTTATGCGAACTTAATTATTAAATTTAAAGGTATAATGTCAAAACGAAAACTTATTTTGATCTTCGCCCGTTCACTCACTTTGTACAATTGGATGGACATAATGTCACTTTAAATAATTAAAAGAACATTATCCGTGCCATTAGCTTTAAATTGATCTTTAATCCCATAGTCTGAATGTATATGATCAAAATAAAAATCAGATTCGATATTTCCGCCGAACGCAGTAGTCATTTGATCAATTTGTATTCTACATGTCCGACTTCTCTTTTGTTTTCCATTGCTCTCAAAGTTAATTATATTTAATATTCCATGAATTTTTTGGTATTAAGTTATGCTAAAATGTAAGATATATCAAAAGAAAATCTTCAGATGCTTCAATTTTATTTATATAGATAATCAAAGTTGAATTGTCAAAAATAAATCAAAGTGCTAAAAAAAAGAAACATCGCATACAACTTTTAAAAGGAAATGAGAGAATCATCTATTGCCTTATTATTTATAATTGTTTTAATTTGCCGTCCATTATTTTTCTTTGCTTTTTATTTACGTTCAAGTCGTATTCCATTAAAGCGTAAATTTGATTAATAGAACGAATGAAAATGGCATTCATAGTAAATACTTTGTTAAAGAATTTGTATCTAATTTTATTAATTATGTAACAATACAATAGAAAAAAGAAAACACGCTTTAACTAATCAATAATAAAACGATACAAACAATATCCGAGAACATTTATGTGTATAAGATTGTCAGACACAGTTGATACAATTAAAAGTTTTCATACAGTACAAAACAAGCAATAAAGTTGGATATTTTTTTTAATTAAAGTCAACGGTCATGCGAATCAACGAGTAATTCAATCTAATCCCAAAGACTTTTGCTGGCTAACTTGGTCGGCCTTGTCGATGAGAAGAAAGATTGTGCGGGCTTCCCGGATGGTGATTTTTCAGGTTTAACAAATAGAGATCCAATGGTGACAACCTCGGATGTGTTCGAACTTGTACTGTCTTGTCGTCTCATTGACCTGTCGTATCTGCACCCTGGACAGTTGTCGTCATAGTTTTTCTCAAACACGCCGGTGTGACCAAAACCAGTATTGCAGGCGACACATGTGTTTAGATGTTGTCCTTGAGGATCTTCGTTACTGTGACTGCAATGAATCATTCTATTTTAACAGTTTGTACATAAACGTTAGTCCTGAATTTTTGTAGTGTATTCTATAAGTGAAAAAACATTTTCTAATTTAAAATGATATGCAATTAACACATTAACAACTCTACTTTACTTTAAACCAAGAAAAGTATTTATTTTGAATCGTTGCATATAATTCTGTTTTACCATATTTCATTTAAAATGCTATTTTAATTAATGCATTTTAATAAATCAAAATATTTAGATCTGTTTTGTTATAATTGACAAAGAACCACAAAAGACTCCAGTAAACAAAGAATAAATATTAGTAAAAAATAAATTATTCATTTTTAACAAATTTATTTCAAACATTTAATTTTAAAGCATATTTGTTGATAGCGATTAAAGATTGAAGCTTATTTAAACAATTTCGAATCCGATTCCTGGAACAGACATGACTGTTCTGCTGCCAAATGATTGAAACATGTGCGTGACCACCCCAGACTGGTTGTAACCCATGATTTTTAGGACGAAAGGCAGTCACCTGAACGACTAGGTCGGTGCTGCCATTGAGATATTCAATATTTTACTTGTAAGTGTTAAAGATATTGTTTGCAGATAGAATCACTAAATTAATATGTTAGCTATACAAGGAATAGGAGATAAAAACAAAATAATGTTATGTCATTAAATAATCTGTAAATACCTTCTCTTCCACCCTCCGTTCCCAAATCGTCCTCCTCGGAAGCTGTCATCACCCCAGCCCATGTTTCTGATAATGTTTGCTGTAATAATTAATATTTCAGATGATTCAATAACACATTTTCAACCATTTTATTTCTTTTTTAGCTTATTAAAATAATAACTTTTACAGAGTATTGTCATAAGAATATATTTTTTCTCTTTATTTTATTAGTAGTTATTTACTTCTAATTTTCGGCTATTGTATTTCAATCATTATCATTATCGTTTTATCGTGTAAGATAGACCATAAAAGTACCTTACCAGTTGAAATATATGATGTCAATTAATATAACAGATTAACTATCACTTTAATATCACATTGTTTTTTTTTTATTATGAATATTGGACACAATTATTTTTATGAATTGCAAAATATCAGACATGCATTTCCTTTGATAAAATATATCTTTAACAGAACTTTAATGCAACTTATTTACCTCTTTACATGCCAGTTAATTTCACTCATTTAATATATTAGCCAAATGCACATTCCTTTTATTTCTTCAATTAAATGATCTAATACCTAAAATAGCAAGTATGTAATACAATGAAAATAAATGTAACTAAAGGCCCAATAATACTATTACAGTCATTGTTTTAACTTTCAGAGTATGACGATATATCAGTAATTCAATATCGAACAACAAAAACTTTTCTTTAGTATAATGGAAAACTACTTTCTTTTCTATTTTCAATGGATACTATTACAAAGAAGTTAGATAAAATATGTTTCAAAAGCATTCAAAACCCGTGAAGAATTGGTCAAAAGTAACACAAAGGAGGTTTGTTTTATGTTAATAATTTCACATTTCTTATTCACCTGCGCAAAATCGAACTGAAAAGTCGAAATGTCTGTACCGTGGTCCCGTGTTTGAATGTATTCAAGGTTCTCTGGGTTTCTTTTTTGTAAATTCTTAAAGTTGCAATACTAATTACTGGTGTCCTTATCATAATTCGAACATGATATATCTATATTACGTAATGATATACCTATATAACGAGATGTACAAATAATAATGACGGTATAAGTAACACCATGACGAATATATAATTTGTAAATAGGTAGAATTACGTCGTGTCATCTCTTTTAGAAGGCAATAAAAGCGTATGATATAGTCAAATACTGTAGCTCTGTAAAGTGAAAACGATAAATTGAATCTTTATTTATTCAGACACAAGAAGGCTTTGTTACTCTGCATACTGCTGTCAACGGATACAGTGTGGGGCTTTATTCGTCAATATCTTCATCATCATCATCATCAGGACATTGTGATTAGCACTACATCATTAGCAACATCGTAATCATCATTGTCCTCATTATCATCATCAGAACATCATTATTAATGTAATGATCATATCAACACCATAAGCATTACCATAAGTACAATCATTATCATCAACAAGGGATCCGGATACAACGCTGTTTCAATATGACAAAAATATTGAAAAGCATTCCTTCCTGTTTCTTTCCGCTACATGGACTGGAAGTTTCAAAAGTTCTATTACGGGATGCAACAACGCTTTCCTCAATTCAATATTTTAATTACTAGGAAACAATTTTAGAACTTCAAATAATAATGTTAGGCAATAACAAATAAGCGAGTTCGACTTAAATTGATAAAAAGATTTGCAACATGGGAAATTAAAACAAAACAAAGACAATGAATATACCAATGGAAGAAAAAAACACTTCATTTTTTTTATTTTTGTAAGGGCTGGAAACAACGGATACAACACTGTTTCATTTTGATAAAAAAACATTACAAATATAAAAAGTAACTTTTTATAGTTTGAGGGTTTATTTTTTTGTAAAATCAAAACAATAACGGCAACAAAAGCCCAACAACACTTGAATCAAACATTTAATAACATGATATGTTTACAAAGAAGTTTGTAATCATACAATAAACAAATCAGTCACATGTATAGCATGAAATAAAAAGGTGAGTTTTGTATCAGCATGAAAATCAGAATCGATTTTTGATATAATAAATTTGTATCTCATTCGTATCTTTTTAGTTCCGTTTGAAATGTAAAGGTTATTAAATGGTATTGCTGAAAACGTTCCAAACTACAAAAAAGAAGACACGACACATTTTATAATAGTTTCTTACGTTCTACAAACGGGGCATACATACAGTGAATAAAAGAATTTGTTCTGTAAAATATGAATGAATACTAGTTTAGTTCTTCATTTATAAATAATGTCTAGGTGAGACATATTTTCATTATACATGTCATACATGTATATTATATTTTGCAATATCAAATCGTTTCATTTACACATACAGACAAGATTATAAGATTGTAGAATTCCGAAGTACGGAGTTGTTACGGCAACGACAAATCAATGATAGAAGTAAATCTGTCAAATGTTATGAACAGTACGTGAATGAATAAGGTTCGTTCTCAAGTTTTGTATAAAGCTTAATAAAACTCTTCTCTAAATGACCTTATTCACGTTTTCAGTCCCACAAGCTTTTCCTGGCTAATTTTCCACCGTAAAACAGCGACAAGAGACCAAGAGCTGCACTTCCTTTATGGCTACTGTTCCATGAATGAAGCGATCTATCTCTACGACATCCAGGGCAATGTTCTTCATAATGAGTCCCGAACACTCCATGTCCCCCGAAAACCACGTGATGGGCGCTACAATGATGTACGTGTTGACCATTTGGGTGCCTATGGCTGTGACTGTTATGGCTGTAAAACAACAAGTCAAATATTATATTTGCATAAACATATACATGCCGATCGGCGGCTATAACATATTAACAATTCATAAAAAACTTTATTTTAACTTAATTTATTCGCTATGAGTCAAATTAGTTTCTCTCCGTTTCGCAAATTGCCAAATAGACTAGTGGTATTTCACCACAAACCAAATAGACTTGTTCTCTTCTTTTCACTTACAAACAGAAAACAAGAAAAACCATGCACCATAGAAAAAGCCACCCTTGAAAGCGTTAAACTAGAAGTTTTTTAGTACTATTTGCTATATGTTTTAGATGTTGATTGACATGGCAGACTAAATTGTTGTAAAGGAAGCTAAACAACATAATATTGTAAACGAAAGAACACGCGTCAGAGCATAAGAAAACAACTTACCTTCCACCCGTGTTACCAAATCCACCATTACCCCAGGTTCCTCCCCACACCATTGTCTGATGATAGAAAATTTACATTCATATATGTATAATTATTTTAAAATCAACAGGAATGCTTTGGATAATTTAAATAAGATTTGGTCAAATTAATACTTCCGAACAAAAACAATTCACATTATATGTTAAGGAAATAAATACAATTCATATTTCAGTCCATAAATAATGACCGAAATAAAAATGTACAATAGAAATTGCATGTTTTATATATCTGTAAATTCGATTTAACATAGAATGATTCAAACTTATAATATGTTTTACATGTTATTATGTTGATATAATTTGACATGTACATGATTATGATCCGCTGACTTGAGAATTTAAGATTGATGTATAAACGTTATATTATCCAGTATAAAACTTTTATACATGTACTATGATGCGGACACTGAAGAGACTGAAATAGCAGTAAATGAAGTCATACGTACCAAATATTTTTAACATAAATCGTACACTCTTTTGATTTACAAGTCTCAAGCAGCCAAATTATACCAAGTGTTTTTGAAAAAAATATGTGTTGGTTGAAGCCAATGTAAAATATTAACACTGTCAACTAAATATATATCATAACCAACTGTCATAAATTGTAAAACGATACTTTTGTTTATTATAAAAGTTTCATAAAAACAATCTTAATATATTCCAGTTTCTAAATATACACATAACAGCTCATGTCAAACATTCCAAAATGTTTCAATAATTGTTGACTAGCAGAAAATCATATTGGAATACTTATAAATCAAGAGACAAAAAAGGGGGAAACATTTGTTTTGATTTAGAAATTTGAGCTCGGCATACATAACCTGTTCAGTCGGTTTGAAAAGTTTTACTATAACTTGCCGCTTCACCTTTGACGTTTTAATTACAGTTACCGGGACTCGATCCAACTACGTAATAGGCGCACGCTTGATCCAATAGATCCTTATTATGTAAATATCTTTTTTTACCTTTACAAACAAAACATATATCGCTTACTTTTAGTAAATAATGTAATCTGACAACAACACAAAAAAAGAAAGAATAGGCGATTGAATTTTTAACAGTATATTGGGTATTTCTTTTTCGTTTTGAGTAAAAATTTCAAACGTTTAATTTTCAAAAAAGTATGTTTAAAAGGTTTTCCTATTGGATCAGATCTCAATATTTCGTGTATACTATCAATATTATTAATATGGTAATGAGACAGAAAAGTAGAAGAATAGACTGACGTTTATTTGAAGATGATCAAGAAGAATATTGTAGTGCTACTACAACTACTACTACTACTACTACTACTACTACTGAAGCTAAACGGCGACAAAACAGAGTTGATCATCTACTCATCTGAACATAACGCACAACCTGTTTCAGATGTTACAGTAACAGTCGACGGTTCGAAAATTAGCCAATCATCTAGTGTGCGCAATCTTGGTGCATTTCTTGACTCGAACATGAGGATGGAACAACATGTAAATAATGTCTGTAGGAACTGTTATGCACAATTAAGACAAATCGGTCACATCAGACCCTATCTTACTGTTAAAGCAACCAAATCTCTAGTAAATTCACTTGTTACTGCTAGGTTAGACTACTGTAATGCACTGTTATATGGAGTCTCTAAGCAGTCAATGACCAAGTTACAACATGTTCAAAATACAGCAGCTAGAATTGTGACCAAAACACTCAAATATGACCGCATAACACCTATCTTACGTGAACTTCACTGGCTTCCGGTAGAGTATCGGGTCGAATATAAAATTTTGACTTATATATATAAATCCCTCATCGATCAATCACCAGCCTATATAAAAGACATGATAGACGTGTACATCCCAGTCAGAAATCTGAGGTCCCAGAATAACTCAATGACATTAGTTGTGCCTAAATCTCGGACAGTACGATATGGTGACAGGTGCTTCCAGACAGCCGCAGCGAAATTATGGAACGCGTTACCACCTGACATTAGAGACTGTAATACCTTGCCATGTTTTAAGAGAGCTCTCAAAACACATTATTTCATAAAGTTCTATGGACGTTAGTTCATAAATCATCATACATGTACTACTTTTGCTATATTATCAGTGTTAATTTTAATTGAGCCTTGATTTTAAACTAAATGTGTCTGTATTTCTTACCATCCTTTATTGGTTTTAGATTATCATAATTGTTGTTTACTAATTAATGTTGTACATTATGTCTTATATATATATATGATTATGTTTTATCGGATTTATGTAAAGCACTCTTGAACATTTATTATTTATGAAAAGAGTGCTATAGAAATGTGGTTACTACTACTACTACTACTACTACTACTAACTACTACTACTAACTACTACTACTACTACTACTACTACTACTACTACTACTACTACTACTACTACTACTACTACTACTACTACTACTACTACTACTACTACTACTACTACTACTACTACTACTACTACTACTACTACTACTACTACTACTACTACTACTACTACTACTACTACTACTACTACCTACTACCTACTACTACCTACTACTACTAAATTACAAAATTAAGGCTTTTTTACTACTACTACTACTACTACTACTACTACTACTACTACTACTACTACTACTACTACTACTACTACTACTACTACTACTACTACCTACTACTACTACCTACTACTACTACCTACTACTACTACTACTACCTACTACTACTACCTACTACTACTACTACTACTACTACTACTACTACTACTACTACCTACTACCTACTACTACCTACTACTACTAAATTACAAAATTAAGGCTTTTTTACTACTACTACTACTACTACTACTACTACTACTACTACTAACTACTACTACTACTACTACTACTACTACTACTACTACTACCTACTACTACTACCTACTACTACTACCTACTACTACTACTACTACCTACTACTACTACCTACTACTACTACTACTACCTACTACTACTACCTACTACTACTACTACTACCTACTACTACTACCTACTACTACTACTACTACCTACTACTACTACTACTACTACTACCTACTACTACTACCTACTACTACTACTACTACCTACTACTACTACCTACTACTACTACTACTACCTACTACTACTACTACTACTACTACTACTACTACTACTACTACTACTACTACTACTACTACTACTACTACTACTACTACCTACTACCTACTACTACCTACTACTACTAAATTACAAAATTAAGGCTTTTTTATGAAAGCTAGATGTTTTAGACAAATATGGAAATCGCTTTTCTTGTTTCAAGTCATACTTTCCATTATAAATTTTAGCAAAACTCAATGTCGTAATATCTTCATGATAAACAGCTAAGTTTGCGGGAATAAAGTGTATAAAACAACAAAAGTGATGGCATGGCAAAGTGGTTCACGCGTCGGACTAGTAATCTGACTAGAATTTGACTTGACTTGACTTATAGCTTCCAGCACATTCGATTTAAAATTTAATTCGAAATATACCCCCTCAAAAAAAAATAAATTATTTTTTTTTATTTTTGTATTTTTTTGGGTTTCCCAACGGCTGAAAAAGCCTTTTGTTTTGGAAAAGGTTTTCCGGTTAGGGGGTTTTCCTTTTACTTTTGTTAGTGAAATAAAGGGAAGGGGAAAACCAATCAAATGTTTCCGCTGCAATGTGTCAATCGTAATTTTTGGGCCCTTTTCCCCTTTACTCTTGGGATTAATGATAGTAACCAAGTTCCGATTGAAACCCTGAAAATTTGGGGGGGGCGTTTCCCGGGCATATTTCCCGGAAATCAGCCCAAAGTAATTTAGGGAAAAACCCTGCAAATTTTTTTTATTTCCCGGTAACCCCTTTTGTGAAAATAGGATTTCTTTTTTTTATTAAATTTATCGTTTTAAAGGAAAGTAAAAAGGAAGAAAAAAATTTTAAAAAAAGAAATTTTTCCCCGGTTTCAATTTTTTCAAGACGCAAGTTAGTTTCTTTTATAATTGGTTTTTGTCTTTATTAGTTATATACAATAGAGAATGGTTACTGTAGTAGTATTCCGTCTCCAAAGGGCGGTCCTGCTTACCAAAAGATCGTGACCGAATCACAAAGAATATTAGTGCATGATCGAGTTATTAACCAGGTTTTCAACGAAAACCGGGTCATTGTAATTTCCGCTCAATAACTTGAGTTTGCTTTGGCCTATTGACACCAAACTTGGTGTGTAGGTAGCTTATATCAAGAGGCAGCTTGGGATTGCTACCCAGGTGTCTTGTGATCAAGGTCAAGGTCACTGTTACTAAAAATAGAAATTCAATTTCCAGTTTGCTTTGGCCTATTGACACCAAACTTGGTGTATGGATAGCTTATATCAAGAGGCAGCTTGGGATCGCTACCCAGGTGTCTGTGATCAAGGTCAAGGTCACTGTAACTAAAAATAGAAATTCAGTTTCTGCTCAATAACTTGAGTTTGCTTTGGCCTATTGACACCAAACTTGGTGTATGGATAGCTCATATTAAGAGGCAGCTTGAGATCGCTACCCAGGTGTCTGTGATCAAGGTCAATGTCACTGTTACTAAAAATAGAAATTCAGTTTCTGCTCAATAACTTGAGTTTGCTTTGGCCTTTTGAAACCAAACTTGCTGAGTGGCAGCTTTGGATTGCCACTTAGATATCTGGGAGCAAGGTCAAGGTCATCTGCTTACAATAGAATTTTAAGCTTCTACTCAATAACTTCAGTGCACTTTGACCTATTTTGATTGCTGTCACATCAAAACTTGGTCGTTGAAAACCTGGGTTTCGTCGCATTGCGGCGCTTCTTGTATTTAGATCTACTGACGCTATTCAACGTCTTGGTGAGGTAATCTAAAAATAGCCCATGTATATCATTAACCTTACCACGTGCAGATCTACAGATAGCACATCCTGTGTTGTCGGTATATCTGTGATCATAGATATTTTAGGTGTAACATAGTTGATACATGCTTATTAATTGGCACCACGTAACGAAGTCTTTTAGTGCATTTACTTGTCTATAAAGCTGCTATATAAATGAAATTAGCAACTGCCAAAACGAATGACTCTCTCTGCGAAAAAAGTGGAAATGAAATGTGCACACTTGCTTCCCTTCAGTATGATAGATAGAGAGCCAATGTTGGTATTTTTACGATTGATTATTTTCTTTATTAGTTTTATACAATAGAGAATAGATTTCAAATCGTTTTTGACAAAAAATATTCGTTTTTACAAAAAAACTAAATAAACCCTTTATGATATACAAATACCTTAATTCAAAAAAAAATGTGATAATAAATTGAAACAAAAATTTTTTTTAAAGGGTTGGGATGATGGCACAACTGAGCAAGCCTTTCCTTTTAAAAGGAAACTTTATTTTACATTTATACTAATATGTGTTATCACAATGATATATTTCACTGTATTCCTATCCGTATGATTTAATTTATTATGTATTAATTCATGTATGAAGTCGCATTCATATATATACGTGCCTCTATTGTTGCGGTCATATTTTTATCGCTGTTGATTATTAATTCACTCATTTTGAAAGATAAAAGTGAATCATTCTTATATATTTCACACGTTTGTGGCAGTTCAGATACTGAAAACATTCAGATACAGATGGAATGCAGAAAGAAAGTAAGGGAATTAAGGGTCAGTTGATGTATGTAGATTGTATGACTCTGGTTTGAAATAGTTACAAAATAGAAT